TCCTGAACCCCCCTCCCTATTTTTAACTCCAAAAAAATTTATTTTTTTTTTTTTTTTTTTTTTTTTTTTTTTTTTTTAACATCTTCACTTCCAACAAGGCTGCAAGCAACCACTATAAGAGTTGGAAGTTACTGGAAGAGAAAAGACTAAATCTGTAGAGCAAGATAACGATTGACTGATGACTTAAAAGATTGCAAATTATATGAATCAGGAAAGCAAGATGAAGGAAGCAAATTCCAAAGAACTGATGTTCGAGGAAAAAAACTAGAAGAATAAGAGTTTTTGAAGCACTTAGGAACAGTCACAGAAAAAGGATGAGACTTAATTGAATGGCGAGTAACACGAGAATGAATTTTAGTAGATGGCACAAGGGACGCTAGCTCTTTAGAGCAGTGCCCATTATAGTATTTGTAGAAAAGAGAAAGAGAAGCAACATTACGACGATGTGACAAAGGTTGGAGATTGGCTGCCAGAGCAGGTCCAACTATGTTTACAATTCGTTTTTGCACCTTGTCTAAAATAGAAAGAGCATCATTAGAAGATCCGCCCCAGATGTGGCAACAGTATTCCATACAGGGACGGATTTGAGATTTATAGAGATAGAGAATAGAATCTGGAGTAAGAAAGTGTCGAGCTCGATAAAGAGATGCAACCTTAGCAGATGCTAATTTTGCAATGGATTTGATATACGGTTTAAAAGAAAGATCAGAAGTAAGAGTTAATCCTAGAAGATGAATGGTAGATGACTCATCTAGTACATTACCATTCATAAATATAGGAAGATCTAAATTATTACGATAACGATTGGCCGAATAAAATTGAGTTTTATCTGAATTAAAGTTCACCAGCCACTGTGAGCCCCATGCTGTAGCAGAAGTGAGATCCTTTTCAAGCTCAGATACCCCCTCCAAGCAATCAGAGAGTGTAGGCTTCTTATCATGACAAGAGTAAATGGTAGTGTCGTCAGCGAATAATGCCACCTTAGATGTGAGAATATCTGGAAGATCGTTAATGTAAATTAAAAAGAGTATAGGGCCAAGGATTGAACCTTGAGGAACCCCTGAAGTTACAGGATGTGAAGAAGAGTGTTGTCCATCGAGGACAACTTTTATACTACGATTGGAAAGAAAGGACTCAATAATCTTAAAGACGTTACCAGCTACACTATAAGAAGAAAGCTTATGGAGAAGACCAGCATGCCAAACTTTATCAAAAGCTTTAGAAATGTCAAGTGCGATAGCCTTAACCTCTCCACCTCTATCTAATGCACGATAAAACCTATCGGTTATTACTGTTAGCACATCAGCTGTAGAACGAGAAGACCGAAATCCATATTGATGGTCAGAAAGTAAGTTATTTGATTCAAGATGAGAGATTAAGTGTTTGTTAATTAAAGATTCAAAAATCTTGCTTATGACAGGAAGAAGACTAATGGGACGGTAGTTAGATGAATCAGATCGCTCTCCGGAATTTTTGAAAATAGGGATAACAGATGCTGCTTTCCAGCATGATGGAAAACAAGACTCTGATAAGCACTTGTTAAATAGTTTAGAAAGTATGGATGAAAGCTCCGGAGAACACCTCTGCAAAACTACAACAGGAATGTTGTCAGGACCACAAGCTGTTGAAGAGTCTAAGCAGGAAATTACTTTAGATACAGAAGCTGAAGTGATGCGAATGTCAAGCAAGGGATCAACCTGTTTGACGGCTATGTCAGGTAAAACGCAACTAGTGGAATCAAGAGATGATATTGATGAAAAGTTCTTAGCAAACAATTCAGCTTTGTCTTTAGGTGAGGTGACAAAGTCTGGACCATACAAGAGAGAAGGAATAACAGATTTGCCCTTATTATTGATACTGTTAAAGATTCTCCAGAAGTCTCGAGAGCCTAATTTTTGTGATGAGATACGAGATTTAATGACCTGGGAATAGCGAGTTTTGGCGTCAGACAAAACCTTTTTACAATGGTTTCTGGCGATAGTGAACAGATGTCTGTTTTCTGGAGAATTGTTTTGTTGATAGATATGGAAGTAACGGTTTCGATTAGAAATTGCTGCAGCGCAATGTGAGGAAAACCAAGGAGAAGAGTGAGGCTTAACCTGGAATCGTCGAGAGGGAATAAAAGATTCCATGCCAGCCTGAATCCACGAAGTTATGTAAGAAGCACATTTGTCAGCAGGAAGACGAAAGATTTCTACCCAAGGGCCATCACGAAGAAAATCACGGAAAGAGTCCCAGTCAGCTTTAAGGTAGTTGTATGTGGTACGATGATAGGGGGATTCTGATGAAGTAGAAGAATTTGATAATAGTTTTAGAGAGATCAAACCGTGATCAGAAGTACCTAAGGGTGAATGTGGAGAAATTGAGCACTGACTAGGATCCAAAACAAGACATAAGTCGAGTAGAGAAGGTAAATGATTAGGGTTGTCTGGAAAACGAGTTGGAAAGTTGACTATTTGAGTTAGAGATTGAGAAAGGCAAAAGTTGAGGGCCTTATCGCCAGCAGAGTCACTGACACTAGAGCCAAGCCAATCGGTGTGATGGGCATTAGAGTCACCAACAACGACGATATTGGCCGATGGATAAAGAGAGAGGGCTTGGTCAATTTGATCAGAAATAACATCAAGAATAGTGCAATCTTGGGATGAAGGAGAGCGATATAGAACAAAGAGAAAGGCGATAGAGTGAAGTTGTGCTAAACGAAAGCACATAAATGAATAGTCTGTAGATTCAAACCTAGTTTCACGACAAATGGGTGAGTTCTTACGAATGTAGATGCCCAGGCCAAGCATGTGATTATTGGAGTCTTTACGAATTAAAGGAAGATAACCATCAACACTAAGATCACAAGATGGGACAGCCAAACTTAAATTAGTCTCACAAAGAGCAAGTAGGTCTGGTGAACTTTGCAAGAGATAAGACTCAACAGAAGAAAAGTTACTTCGAAGACCACGAATATTAGTAAATGATAGGTTTAGAGAACTTGGTGATGACAATGGTTTTTTGTGTTTTTTAGTTTTAGGTACTTTAGTCATTTTAAATTTATAAAGAACTTGACTCAAGTATAGATAGTACTCAGTACACTATTTAACAACTAAGCAATAGCCTCATTACTCTTAATAAACCCTAAGCCGTAACAAAGGGCTCCAAATGTGGCCTCTGCAATGCACACCAAAAGTACAAACAGGGACACCATCCATGCGCAACATGGCACTGTTAGTACTCTGATATTTTTCGGCTGTTGATGGAATCAGCCTCTCTGAGAGCTACCACAGAGTTCGGGAAACCTGACTACCAGCCGGCCTCAGAACCATAAAACTGAGTTTTAGAGCTGTACCCTCATTAGGAGATAATAGAATGAGTTGCCCAGTCATAAAAATAGAGGCACAAGCAATACCCACGCATTGAGTCAAGAAGATCCAGCGTTCAACATCCTAAACTGGAAACAATGTATTAAGAATACATCTGAATTTCATCTCGCAATGATGTTTGAATCTACTGCTACACCTTTGAAAAATAAAATATATTTTTTATAAGTTTCAAAATTTAAAAAAGATTTTAAAACGTGAATTTTTCTTACATTAAAAACAGAATTTTAAAGATTTTTGAATTAAAATAGTTTTTTATATTTAAATTATAAAAAAGTATTCACTTATTTATATTGTTGTTATTCAACATAACTAAATTTGTTCAAAAAAGTTGTGGTTTTACTGTCACAGTACTTGCTAGCTGCAGTTTTGTTAACAAATGGCCTTAACGTAACATAAGAACATCTTTGGCATTGAAAATGTTCGCGTAACTTTTGAAAATCAAGACTTGCGTACTCAAATTATTTTTTGCTTATTTTTATTACGATCGTTTAATAAAGTTTCATTCGCGGTTTTAGAAACATTTAAACGCGGTGTTTATTGAAACTGAATTTTTCTAAAAAAGATTAAATGTTTAGTTGGTTTTTATTTAATTCTTTCTAGCTTAAAAAGTAGTTTAAATTCTTCCATTGTTTTTTTACTATATTTTCTAAATATTATAGTTTTCGGTAATTAAAATTACGTTTTAAAACTGCTACTTATGGAGAGAGAGAACAAAACTTTTTACAAAAAAAATGAAAACCATTTAAAAAAAATTATTTTTACTTAAAATATTTGTTTCAATATTTATTAACATTTTATATAAAATTTTTTGATCGTTTAAGTAAAATTTAAAGTCGGTTTAAAATTAAGTAAAAACGTCAGATAAAATATGAAATTTCGAACTAAAAATCTTCGAAGAAAAATTCTACTAAACCATCGAATTTTTTTTTTGATGACGAAGACTTTTTTTATTTTGTTGATCTCTTCAAGAAACAATGGCGAAAACCTTAAAAAGTTATTTTTTTGTAAACATAAATTTGTGTAAAAGGTTTATAAAAAGTGCAAATCTAATAAAACAAGTAGTTTTATTCAAAATTCAATCAACTTAAAAACTTATGACTTTATCTTAAATACGATATTATTTGAAAAGAAATTGATAATAAAATAAAAAAAATTAACATTTTATTTTAATTTGCATATTTAGATTTTTTAATTTAATTCTTAAACATCACAAAACATAAAATAATTAATATAAATAAAATATTAAACAAACCTTTATTATTTATTAAAACAAATATTTATTAACAATATTATTTAAAAAATTATATATTAAGAACATAATAATTAAAAACTGAAAATATAATATTTAAAAAAAACAATAAATCATGTAACGTAATTTATAATTTTACAAGTATAATATTATTATTAATAATAATATATATGAAAATTTATATATTATAATAATATATTTAATAATTTATATCATAATTATAACTATTAATATATTTGAAAACGAATTATTAATAAAATATTTTAATAATAAAAAATTAAATTTTTAAATATTAAATCTAATAAACTAGTAAAATTAATTTGTATATTTAAAAACGTATTTATTATAAAATAATACATTAAATATTTCATTAGTTATTTATAGTTATTGTTTTTATTTAATATATTTAAGGTATTAAATATTTTATCGTGTTGTAAAGTTTTTTAATTTATCGAGGTTATCAAAATATTTTCCACGGTACCTGATCTCAAACTCCTTGACATTCGAACAACGAATCCATTCACAAAATTCTTTAATAAAATCAATGTCGTCGTGAAGATCAAGATATAATTCTTTACAAAGATTAATCCACGGAAGAAAATTTTCTTCAAAATCTTTTTTTGTTATTAAATAATCTGAGATCCGTATCTTCAACATTTCAATCTTATCTTTCGGTTTCCAACCTTCGAAATTAATTGGATGATAAAAGCAGACAGAGCGAACATTAGTTGAACATTGTATTAAAAGTTTTTTTTCTTCATTACTTAAAATATTTTTATAAACTTCTAACCACGATAACTTTCTTCCAGATTTTACGTAATGATTTATGAAATAATTTTCGCAAGAAGTTAAGTAAGAAGTTTTCCAATCGACAATCGAAATCCACCACTCTTCTCGTTTACTAACAATTGATTTAAATTCATCATTAAATGATGAAATTTTTCCATCGTCAATCGAAATCAACCACCACTCTCGTTTATTAACAATTGATTTAATTTTATCATTAAATGATGATTGACTTTCATAAAAACATTCAATGAATAAATGATCGTATTCTTCTATGTCATCACTTTTACTTAGACGATCTTAAATAAGATTAAATATTAATTAAAGAAATGAACAAATAATAAAAATAATAATCAAAATTATAACATTATATACATTATAATACTCTACATATTCATACATATAATTTTTACTAACTAATGATTGAATAAAAACATACAATTTTTTATTTTTAATAAATGGACTATATTTTATACAATAATATTATATACATAAATTTATATTAAATTAAAATGATATAAAAAAATAATAAAAGTGTGAAACCTTTAGATAAAATAATTCATATGAAAAATAAATATATATAAAAATGTAATATAAAATATAATAAAAAAGACAATTTTTTAATTTTGTTAATTTATCATATTTCTAAAACAAAATAATTTAAATATAAGTTATAAATTAAGCATATTTAAAATAACAAAACAAAAATTAGAACGGTTGTTCACACACATAAAAGATTCATAATCATGAGACATTTACACATCAAAATCAACATAATTTCATCATTAAAGCTACAAAATGTAATATATATAATATATAAAAACAAGCAACAAACATAAGATAAAGCGATTGAATTTAAAAATTACAATAACATCACATCAAACGACATTTTGTTTTAAAAATTAAAATTAAATCCATGAAACAATCATTTCAACGCAAACAAGAAAATAATTCCTCATTCACAATTGTTTCATGTAAATCATATTTCTCTGAAACTTTTAGCAAAAGAAACAGGTTTTTTCTAAAATATCAAACTTAGACGAACGATTAAAAATAAACGGGTAAAAATGCAATTAAATAATAGCTCAGTATGTTTTAAAATTAGTATGGCATAGGTACTTACAAACCATTATCATACTGTACTAGTTTTTTTGCATACTAAAGCATGCCAAACATTTTTTAAAGTAAAAAATTTGTAAATCAATGAATTCTACGCGATGAAAATATATTTTTTGTAGCATAGAGTTTTTGTGACGAAGGTCTTACCTTATACTTCATAAAAGAATTTTTTTCAAGGTTTATAAATATGCATTTTTTTTTTTTGCACCACTAACATTTTGAAGGCAAGTTGATTTATTTTTTAACATATTTTCTAAATCTTAATTTATAATATTCTAAATCTATTTTCGATTTACCTTTCCATAAAAAAAACTCACTCATTCAAACTCAATTATCGCATTTCCAAGAGATTAAATATAAAAAAAGTTTGAACATTATAAAAACACGTATCTATTTGCTATATTATAACTAAAAAAAAAAAGCTTAGAGATAAAAATCAAAATATTATAAAAAATGTTACATTAAATTTAAAGGTTTACACATTTTAGCACCTTAATCTTGTATATTTATAATATAATTTAACTAATATATCAACAACAAAAAAATACTTAATTTCATCAAATTTACACGAAAAACAGTCGTCGTAAGTTAAGGTTTTGTAAAAATATAAATTTTGTTTTAAAACATAAACTTTTTTAATAAAAACAAATAAACGAATATAAAACTGAAGAATACTTACTTACGAATTTTTAAAAGTATTTGTTACCAGTGTGAAGTTTAATAAACAATGGTAACAGAATAATTTCGTACTTATTCCAAAAAAAAAACAAAACGTTTGGTTTTATATACATAAAACTCGATGATCGAACTTTACAAAAATCTTTTCACTAATTCGAACAAAAAATTTAAATCAACCGCTTAGTTTTATAGAATTATATCGTAACTATAGCAACCGTTGAAAGTATTTGTGAATTCACACAAAAAAAAAAACGTTTAGATCACGTTTAAAGCTTGATAACACGTCGAATAATAAATTATACATTATTTTATACAGAAAATAAACTATAAATTCTATTAAGTATAATGATGTGAAATAAATAAAATGAAAAATAAAAGTAATAAAAAAAAATTTAGTTACTGTTATTTTTTCTGACGATATAAACGTAATTTAAACTTAGCGTAATCTAAATAATAAACCTAATGAAAAAACCACAAAAAAAATAGTGAAACGCATGTTTTTTAAACAGAATTTACAATTTGTAAATTAATATTAGTATACATATTATTATATATTAGTATATTATATATTAGTTTGTAAATTAATATCATTATACATAAAAATAAACAATAAACCGAATAAAAATTAAATAATATAACTAATTTCATAAAAAATTTCTCATTATTAAAACGTAACAAGACATTTGTCTTGTTACGTTTATTTATATAAACTTTATATTATATAATTATATTATATAAACTTTATATTATATAATTATATTATATAAACTTTATATTATATAAACTTATATTTATATCAGTTATAAACCATATCTTCCACAAAAAAACTTTTTTTTGCTTAATTTTCTTTTTGCTTAGAGACGTTTTTTTTTTGTTAAACACGTGACAAACAAGAGATTTAAAAAAAATATATATTTGCTTAAAAAGTATAAAAAATTCACTAACTTTAAAATAATAGTATTTTCTATAAAAGCTTTGATCTTCAAAAAATAACTAAAATTAATTATTTTTTTGAAGATCAAAGCTTTTATAGAAAATTCAAAGCTTTTATAGAAAATTAAAACAATAAAAAAATGGATGTATTTATCCTTGTTCGACGGAGCATATACCACAAGAGCAGATCTTCTTGTTTCATTCTACTTAACTTTTTATTTTGACAACAATCATTCAAAAAACAAATCATCTAGTTAGGCTATCAGTAAAGCTACAGCTTTACTGAAGGCCTTACAATTCTGTTCAAAAGTATGATTTTGTCTTGCATCCTCTATAAATTCAAGTTGGACGAGAATTTATATCCAAATTAATTCATGGTCCATAAATTGCTTCACTAATTGAATAAACTAACCTTATCCAATAAAATAACCTTTTGTCTTAATTGCTAAAAAAAATGAAATTAATAAATTTCAACTATTATACAAATTCATTGAGAATAATTTATCTGAACTATGATGCACTTGTGCTATCTTTTGCAAATGATGGTTTGTGATCAGATTCAAAACTTTTATTTAAGACACACAAATTGAGATCTGGTCAAGGCAAACACAAGTTAATTTTAAAACAAAATTTCTTTACAAAGGTATTTATCTCTGCTTGAGGAAAACTACAAATAATAATAGTACTAATAAAAATAATAACTGCTTTTCTTTGAAAAGAATGATAATTTATAAATAATTTCATCAAGTTGTTTTTTGGTGCATAAAAAAAAGCCATATAACTTGTAGATGAACAAAAAAGCGTTTTAAAAAAACCTAAAGTAAAAGTAGGCTAACTTAAAAACATCTAAAAAAATCTGTGCCTTGTGATTTTAAAATCAGAATAACTAGAAAATAACTTGGAAATTGAGTAATATTTTACACAATAAAAATTATTTATACAATTATTATTACGACAATATCAGAATAAATATATAGTGAAATTAAATCTATTCTCTACTTAGTTACAATATATTTTAGTAACATTATATTTGTTAGATTTGTTTTCTTTTTAGTTTTATAACTATTACAATTTAAAACACTTTCTCGTAACTTAGTAAACTGAAATGGTGAACTCTTAAACTGTGATTAATCTTATCAGTTTTAAATTAAATCTCAAATCAAATTTAGACAAAAGCAGATTTGCTTTTTATTTGAAATTTTTATTTACTTAGGTTTTTGTTTTATTGATTGTTGATATTAATTCCATATACATTATTGTACCAAAGACAATGTAGATTTAAACTGTGATTTAGCTTAAACCTCACCTATTTATGTGAATAGAAATCTAAAATACTATATTTACTATAACAAAATTGAGATGGTGTTAACCTAAATACTACTAGTCTACTTTGAACTATGCTATTAGATACTGGGATAAAATCTTTTATTTTGCATAATTAAGTTCACCTGGCCACTGTTTTAATTCTTATTTATATAGGATTGATTGTAAACTACTTTGACTGTAAACTAGATAACTTAAGAATACCAAAACTAGTTTGTTTTAGCAGCAAAGAAGTACAAAATAATTAATTTTCTGACCGCCTGATGAAAACGAATGAGAACAAATATTTGCTTTAGTTAGTTTTTGGATTAAAGATGAACTATTGAAGTTAAGTGTATCCAATCAATTACAAAGGCAAATTTATACCGTTTTCAAAAGAGTAATTATAGATCTGTCACAAAAGGAATTAAAATTGCTTGCTTACTTTGTGACATCATTTTTCTGATCTGGATATTTTTGACCAAGACCTGGCTTATTTCATTTACTATATAATGAAAGCAGATGCTGAATAAAAGAATATCAAAATTCAGCTTATAAAAAAGTGAAGCAAAACCGCCTACAAAAAGCAAAGAAGATGGACTGACACACCTAGATTTATTCCAGATCGATTAATTAATTAAAGAAATAATTCCAAACAATATTCCAAATGGTTTCAAAGATATGATTATTCAAACTTTTTCCTGAATAGTTTAGTTAAAGTTGTTACAAAGAACTGGACCTCCTCCCCCTATTTATTCATTGTTCCGGCAAAAATAAAATATATTAAAATAAAAACCAACGTTTTTTTATTGACCAACGTTTGCCACTGGCCAATAGAGAAAAAAATATATATTATTTACTAAACTAATTTTGTCAAAACTTATTTAGTATAGTAAAAAAAAAAGTAAAAATAAAAATTCAAAAAAATATTTAGAAACATTGAATAAAAAAGTCAAATTATGATTCTAAACTTCCTCAATAAAATTTATCTATTAATGATGTACATTTGCTCATACATACAATGCTCATACATACAATACAGTACATACATACATACAATGTATGTACAATACATACATACAGTATACATACATACATATATAGTATGTTTACAGTATACATACATACATACAATACAATACATACATACAATGCTTATACATACAATACAGCTTATACATACATTTGCTCATACATACAATGCTCTTTACTTCTGTTTTAGGAAAGACCATAATTATATTGATTCTGATAACTCCAACCAAATGAT